TTTTTACTAACTATGGAAACATCCCATAGGTGAGATTCTGGGTTCAATCACTGTTTTCTCCTATAAAGGAGGAGTATTAATTTTTTTTTTACTTTTGTACTGTGTACTGGTCTCATAAAAGATTGACCACAGAGTATATAACCGCTATAAGTAGGTAGGTTGGACATGACATAGATAACCTTGGGCCCAATTCATCCCAACATTTGAACCAAGGGCCATGAGAATCAATTAACAATAATAATATTTTACTGGCGTAAAACAATATGCCATAAAAATTGTTCAAGGTGTGACTTGTGGTATTAATATTTTTTCCACAAATGAATAAGTACCTACTTATTTAAAAGTATCAAATTTTGTTTTTTTTTGAGTATGCAATATAATGGGTAATGGCTGTTTGTGTCTTACTATTATTTTATAAAAGTTTATCAAAATGACAATGACCAAATTTGTATGGAGCGTGGTGCCTTTTCATTTTTTCGCGGCAGTTGATCGGATGTGGAAAAACTGATGCAGAATAACATTACAAACAAAAAAATATATGGCGTCTTATATCAAAAATTCAGTCCGAACCGAGTTAAATCAGTTCAAAGATGTGAAAATAGTGCTATACTATTCCTCTTATTTTGTTGATGGTGACCGTATACAACGCATATTTTTTTAATTACACTTGTCAAAAATATTTTGTAATAAATGTTTATAAATGATTTCAAGGAATACAATAAAGCTTATTGTGGACTTTTTTACTTATTTTTTTTTTTTTTGTTTTCATTTTTTTTGTTTTCATTTTTTTTTGTTTTATAAGGCCTCGGAATCAGAACAAAGTGAATCATTAACTGGCCACTGCTGAAGTAAAAAAAAAACATTTCGCTTGATTGGCTAGTATGTTCACGTTATATGTTATGGTTTATGGCCTTTGACAGATTTTAATGATCAATATCCTCTCAGTCGAAAACCCGCAAAATACTTTACTGAGCCCTATCATGAAATGCTATGTTTATCAGCTGCGGCGTCGGTAGCGGATTGAGTAGCGGCAGTCGTCAAAACAAGAAAAAATCATTTTTCTGTCTACTTCTCCCGTCTTAATTCCGACTAGTAACTACTCTAACTACAGTTAATACTTTAATCTACAGCTAGCATAAGATTCTGTACAAAGATATCATCATTCAGTCACAAAGTGGTGGATAATATTTCGACTGATCGCATTATATGGAAAAATTATGCGCTCGTCTGACGTATAGTCCATCACTTTACAAAGTCGACGGTTTCCTTTCTTCAAAAGATTATATGTACTAACTATAAAGTAGATGAGTCTATCACCAGGAGTCAACAGCAAAAAAATAATACTTTATTAGATGTTTGGACGGCTACCACTACTCAACCCACCACTGATACCATAGCTGACACTCATGAAGCTTCATGACACAACTCCTAGAAGTATCCCACAAATTATCGACTGAGAGAAAATAGCTAATAAAAATTAGTGCCTGGCAATATGGATATATTGTGGTGTGATATGGTTATCCTGTGCCCGGCGTATAGTGGCGCGCAATTTGAAGTTAGGAATGGTGACAAAAATATGAATAATTTGAACAAAGTAAAATGTTTAACTCAAGCTCCTTTCAACGCTCATAACTCAGTCCAGACTGAGATTTCCATATATGAGCCCATAGACAATTTCGTTTGTAATGTCATTCTAGATAATATTTTCCATAAATCATCGACTGCCGCCAGAAAAAAGAAAGGCACCAATTTTAGTCAATGCCCTTTATTAAGCTGTTTAAGAGATAAAGTGTAACAGTCAAACTCACAATACCAATTGTATTATGAATTTGAATTAGCCAGCATAGTGAGAAAAATTTACATTTTGCAGACAAATAAAATGCAAATTTTGCACACAAGCATAACACAAAAAATAATGCAGTATGAGTTGACCGTCTGCCGTGCAACGTGTCGCGGATTCGATTCCCGCACGGAACAACACTTTGTGTGATTCAAAAATTGTTGTTTCGGGTCTGGGTGTCATGGGTATGTGAACTTGTATGTTTGTGAACGCACCCACGACACAGGAGAAAATCGTAGTGTGGGGCAACCCCGAGCGTACGGCGCGTCGCGTTCCGCGCGCACCTCAAAGAGCCATCAGACCACAACGGATGGGGCCCAATAGGGCTGATGCCGATTCGGAGTCGCGGAGAACCTAACGGGTTACCGGGGCTCCGGCTCGAAGTGCAGGAAAAGGAACGGGGTGGTTTCCAGTCAGTAAGAGTCTGACACTCCCACCCGCCTCTCCCAAGCGGGAGCAGACATTCGACGATACTCCCGACTTCAAAAAAAAAGTGTGGGGCAACGTTTTTTTTTTCTAAAGAAAAACCTTATGAAATTATAATAGACAATTATGTAGTCTCATAAAATATTACACAGAGGCCTAATAAAATACCTAGGTCATAAATTTGCCTTTACATACATATATTTTTGCATTTTGACATTACATTTACATGTGCATGAATTAGATACCTAGGTATAAAAATAATTGAAGTAGTTATTAGCATAGAAGTTTAAAATGGGATATTAAGAATTTTTTTTTTGGTATTACAACTAGTGCTATTGGGAAAACTATGTTAATTTAAAATTAGATAAAGAGTAGAACTTAGGAAAAATTAAGACATTACTAATTTTATTTTTATACTAATAAGGCTTATTTTAAACTGTACTATGATAATTTATAGTTCAGGTTTAACCAAAAACAAGAATGAATGTAATTTGCATTATGAAACTAAACTCATGAGGATAAGAGTATTAAAATATATTTATTTAGAACTGGTTTCTTAATAGAAGTAACTTGTAACTTACAATCATTTTGGACTTTTCAAGGATGTTTTAAATGTAAATTATATTTTTAATTCATTTGTACTTTATTTTTACCTATTTGAGCACCTTACGTCTACCAATTTTATTATAGTACTTTTATAATTTTTGTATACATATATATAATAACTTCATTGTAAAATAGGTAATTTACACAAAACAAATATAATGAGACACCTTTTAACCCCTGAAGAAGTAAGCAGACATGCACAAAAACCTAATTAAATTACAATTCCAATAAGGCTTTGCCGAACCCGAATCACACCAAAACCCCATGTTTGGCAGCAGTTCTCTTTTCACTACCACTCCAGCAACAAAGCACAAACTACACTTAAACCAAAATGTATTCTAAAAATAAAAAAATAATGTACATGGTATGAAATATTACAATCATATTTTTAGTCAAATTGGTTTGCCTCATTGAAATACAAGGTCATCACAAAAATTATTGTTTAAAATGTAAACAGTTTTAAATTTCAATTAGGCAGACAATTCCACTGCTAATAAATGAGTTAATAAAAAAAGTTTTTAATCAAGTAATTACTTTTTTTATAAATAGAATATTTAATCTTTTTTAATGGTTGGTATTGGCTATAGACTTGCACAGGTGTTTTTTTTTTAAATTGGTAACAAGGTACAGATTAAATAGATACTGTTAGGTAGCAAAAGAATTTAGTATGCAGGTATGAAAATAAATATTGACTCAGTGCAAAGACAGTGGCTATTGTTATAGTAAATTGTATTGGCTTGGAATGATAGGTAAAGCTGTTGCATAGTCACTGGTTGGCTTAGTAGCTGCCTTGTTATTACTGTATCTATATTAAATGAATCTTTACTATCTTTTTTTATTTGTAAACTAAATTCTTGTGGTTATACTTGTGCTGATGGTATATAGACAAACTCTTTGCTGAATAAAACTACATGCTGGCTAATGGAGTTTATTCATTACTAAAGGGATTTTGTATTGTATTTTCTTTTATCTGTATAAGACATTAGCAGTTTGAATTGAAAACATCTGGACTACATTGTAAAAGACACTAAAGAATCTAATTAAATTAATGTTATAGTTAAAAGTTTTTTATCAAGACCTTCAGTTAAATGGCTACATTAACTGCTTAAAGCAAGGCTGATTGTCAATAACTATAGGCAAAATATGTTTGGTCATAAAAAGGGCGGAATATCAATTTGGAATAGTGTAATAAAGATACATAACTTAAACAAGCAACTGGCGTGACTTGTGCCCTATACTATAATGATATGATAACAACTAATATTATACTCACTAAGCAAGATTCACGATGTCAATCATAAATTCTAATTAGAATATTTTTTAAACGTTAGTATTTGTTACAGCCACGCTCAATAACTAGGCATAATAATTTGTTATCGCGCAAATAAATAACGTTTTAATCGATTTGAATTCTTGTTCACATTATTAGAATTTTGTGTAACACGCTTTGAAACGTCACCCTCCAAACGTTTGACCGTCGACGTGAATGTCAGACAAAAAGTACTTACATTTTTTCTGAACAAACTCGCAGTCGATACCCAAACTATATAACAAAAATAACGTGCAGATAACTTTAGTTCATAGCGCTGCTAATAAACAGTGATTCAATACACGTTTCCTATGATATATTGAACATTTTTCCTCAAAATCGAAATAAACTAGACGAAACTGACGTTTCACTTCACTTCTTTAGAACTTGACATTGACTTGACAGCTAAACCGGAGATTTGCCGACCGCCAATTTGTCATTTACTTTCACTTCGTTCAGAAAATGCAGGGTATTCGAAAATCAAATAATTAAACTTAACGCTTTTTCAAAAGGTTTCTACATATTAATAACACTGCTATCTCCATGTGCATGATAATGTCTAAGAGTAAATAAATTAGTAAAATAATTATATTGAAATAGTTTATAACTAATGCATTTATTTCATTTCAGAACGAACCTACGTTTAGTTATGGCCTATTTGCTGAAAATGCTGAAAACAAAACGCGGAAATGAAATGTTTGTATCGGGCTGACCGAATTGCTGTCACTGTCACTTGGTGGTCAAGTCAACAGATTTTTGAGGTTATATGCGAAGCAGGGGTCAATGTATTCATAACAATATCATACACAACTAAACAAAATGCCTCTCGATTACCGGAGATTCAATGGACCTGAAGACAGTATACCATACAAACGTTTCACTAAAGACTTTGTGAAGAGCTATGATGAACTTTTCAAGGAGTTATTAGACGATAAGGGAGTTCGTAAAGACGGGCGCGCTTTATCCGAAGCGCGTAGCATGTGTATGTTTTGTATGTACTGTTTGATAATAATGGCCTTTTGTGTATAAGAAGCGGATATTTAACTTAGTTTTTGTGTTTCAGTTGCGAGAGCGGACATGGTTTCACAGGCGAAGGGATCCGCTTACGTTGAACTTCGGAAAACAAAGGTCGTTTGTTCTGTGTTCGATCCACGAGAAATTCCTCATCAGAATGAATTTAGGTAACTAATTTTAAACTTTACAATAACTAACCGACATTATCCAAAGAAGTGTATCTAGTTTTCAATGAGATTAATAAGTTATAAAAAGTTTACCAGGCTTTGGTTATGATTTACGTTGCGCGGATATTGCATAACAATTAAAAGAAGAAGACAACTGATTAAAGAGATCCTATGAAAATAATTAATTAGTCAACAAAATTAACCCACAAATATATTATTTTCAGTGAACTTGGTCAAATATTCTGTGAAGTGAAATTCGCGCCATTTTCGTGTCCGCGTAGGCGGCGGCCGCACGCTCCCGACGCTGAAGAAAAAGCTTTATCTGTGGCACTAAGGAAAGCTCTAGAACCCTCTGTTTGCAGACACATGTTCCCTAACTACCAGGTATTATAATGTAATATTTTATTTGTTGATAAGGAAATACCCTCTTGTTTTTACTAAAGAAACCTTGAAGTAATAAAAGCTGGTTTAAATTTTTTTCATCAATAGAACATCATTTTACCTACTCAATTATTAGGACTGATAAGAATATATGTCAAATCAATATCATATCATAGAAATTTTTTCCCTCCGCTTCTCATACGCTCAGTTAGAAATTTCTTTCAAACCAAGGTAAAAACCTAAATATGAAACCTTTACCTACTACTTGTTTTGTAAACTGTACTATCCTTATTTACAGGTTGAAGTCTTCATATACATTCTGGAAAATGATGGAGCATGCTTATCGGCAGCAATAAACGCTGCTGGCCTAGCATTAGCTGATGCTGCAGTCCCAATGTACGATATCATAACATCCTGTACCATCGCTGTCATCGGAGACAAGATGTTTGTGGACCCTACCGAAGCTGAAGAGTACTTAGCAACAACAAACCCAGACACACCGATAAATCACGGATTACTTACACTGTCAACATTATCAGAATTAAAACAAATATCAGACTTTATTCAGATAGGATCAATGGATGTTGTCAGTGTTACAAATGCAATGGAAGTTTTAGAGCAAGAGTGTGAGAAACTTGTACCGCTGGTCCAGAAAGTGCTAGTAGGTAATGTACTAAAGTGCTTTGACCAGAGAAAGCGGTTGGAGGAAGAAGCTAATGAAAGAGAAAAGGCTTTAAACTCCAAGATGGAGGAATGGAAAAAATTATTAAATGCTGGATGAGATTTATTTCTTTGTTTTATTCGTGTACCTTATTACTTTATGGTTCTCGGTGTAAAAGTGGGATTATCAAACTAAAATATAGCTTAGTTCTTAAATAATTTTCTTAGAATCTGGGTTAGTCTAAACATCACAAAGATTGGAGCACATAGTTGCATGATGTTACACCCATTTATTACCAGTTATGTTACAAGTACCATGTACAGCAGCACCTCTTTAATCCGAACTCTGAAAATTTTACCCCCCCTTCGGATTAGTGGAGCATTCAGATTATAGGGGAATATCCCCTTTGTAAATAAAACTACTTAATAGGTACATAAATAATACAGTCTGTATTAATCTTTAAATGTTACATATTTAATTCAATGTGGTGTTTAATGACAAATAAAATGTGTTGTCTCATAATTTCAAAATGTGCCGGGGAGTTCGGATTACTGAGGGGTTTGGATTAAAGAGGTTCTGCTGTAATTAGTTTTATGAATAATAATAAACACTCGAATGTAAAGATTCAGTTCTTAGATTTGCTTGGGTTTAGTATTTATTGACACAATCTCATTACTAAACTTGAGAATATTTGCAGTAAAACTAAACCTTCAATAGAAATAAATCGCTTTACTTAGAAATAATAAGAGTTACACACCACTTCATGCATATAAGATCAGGTACGTTTCACCACACAACACTGCTTAGAAACGATCAATGAACTTAAAAAAACACAATTTAAGCTTAATCTTCAGGTTTTTCTGGTGGAGGACCGCAGGGTTGTAGCATTCTTTCCATAAGGTTGAACTTTACTCTAGCTTTTGACTCATTTTCAACAATAGCGAAGTAGCTTAGCAGGTCAGGATGCCCCATGTAACTGCAGCACGAATCACGATGTTGATTGGTTAACCACTCATATTTTGTGGTATCTGCGTGTCCCGTACCGATGTATTTGCTCTGAAGATGCTCAAGTTGACTGTGAATATTGTATCTCTCACCCATTTTCTGCAAAAAGTAACATTTAAGGTTAAGTTTGTATATATAAATTGTGAACAAGCCTTCGCTAGTGTTAAAAGTTATTAACAGTGTGTTATTATTGATAAGCGTAGAACATTAAAATGATATTATCTGCACATACCTATATTTTTTCAAACGATGCAAAACAAACAAATACCGATCTCGTTTCCAGGGTTGCCAATGCTAATTCATCAAAATCCCCAAAATTCCTGATCGAATTCCCCAAATTGGGGAATAAAAATCCGCTGATTCCCCACAAATTCCCCTAAAAAGTTTTTTATAAAATAAAACTATAATCAATTATTTAAATAATATTGATTGTTTTAATTTGAAACTGTTGAGCTTCTAATGAATTTGAAACAGATATAATAGAAAATAAAGAATCTCGGAAATCAAATATCTTAATAATGTCCGACGTGAATTCCATATAAAATTCTTAGCATGTCTTATAGAAATCTGCAATAGCTGCAAAATGTACCTCGATTTTCATATTTTTTCAAATCTTCCATAATCTGTCCAGATTTCATGATTTATGATTTAAAAAAATGTTGTAATCGATAATAAACAATGAAATATTTTCCAATTTGTGTCAAATGCCAAAAGATGTCAAAATCCCCGCATTTTCCAATCCACATAATGCCAATCCCCAATAAATCCCCAACCAACTTGAGATTCCCCGCAGTTTGGGGAATTCCCCACAGATTGGCAACCCTGCTCGTTTCGATGGTTTGACGTTTACGAATGACAATATTAAAAAGTCAAAAAAATTCACAGAGTACAAATGCCATGCAACGACAATCTGTGTTTATGGCCTTGTCTATAAAAATTCATTTATTCAAATAAAAAACTTAAATTAAAAACTAACTATTACTTAAAAAAAAAATTAAAACTAAATATTACTAAATTAAAACTAAAAAATTAAAACTAAATATTACTAAATTAAATACCTATATACAACTAAAGATTAAAATTAATTATAAGAAAAAACAAAAACAACTATTTACATAAAGCGTCGAAAAATTCGTCCGCATCGACGTCAGTGGGGAAAGTACACCTAGCGTCTCAACCCCAACAAAGATATAACTACCAGCAAGGTTGTTATACTTGCGCCGCTTGAGGCTTTCTGCAGAGGCAGCAGCCGAACCAGCACAACCCGCCGTTACTGGAAGATGAGAAGGTGCAAGGGTGTCAACGCAGGTTGCGTCCCACACCAAAGACCTTCCCAGCTTCCAGGGCATAATGGACATACCGTCGGGTCTCTTACCATCGTCGCGTGCCAAACCCTTTGGTTCCAGAACAGCTGGCACACCGGCGATGATAAGAGCTCGGCGGATAATGTCGTTAATGCTGGCGTGTCGAGCTATCCGGCCCGCGCTTCTGCTACACGATAGGCCGTGGTGGCCGAGGTGGTCGACCATCTCACCGCATTGACAGCGATGCGGAGAAACACAGGGTGCACCATAGATATATAACATAGATGTGTGACTATTGTCTACGGGTAGAATTTAAGATCCATCTCGACGGTAAATTCATAAACATACTGTTGTTTCTTTTTTACTTATGTTTCTTTGCTTATGCAGAAAGAGACAACACATTATTGTCATTCGGGCAATAATTTTTTGACGTCATCAAAAATACCTAGTTCTGCCGAATTCGCCATCTTGGTCTCTGTTATCAGTGCATGTCAGTGGTACATCAGCTGTCAAAGCATTGGTCAATAATATTTTGTTACGAAAATTTTTAGAATTCCTGTTATTTTTGTGCGTGGTAAGCAAAGAAATTATTGGTTAGTGAGAAGAACTATGCCCGGGTGTAGTGTTATTGGATGTAGCACTAAAAATATCACTAAATCGGCAGGTGTAACATTACATCGGTAAGTACTGTTATTTTTTCATTAAAATATCTCTGTTTTTTAAACTATTCAAGTGAGCTTGCTGCAAGTTGACTAAATACAATACTTTTCTAACTAATGCAGTGCTTATTTTCATTAATTTTAATTGAAATACGTCTAAAAATTTTTTCATTGAAAAATAGTGATGTACATGTTTGTTCCCGTATCGATAATTTTATCGTTCATATTAATAAATGCTTCAAAAGTAGAACAAAAACTATACTAAATTCTGAATGATAAAGTGCATTAATTTGACATAATGACAAAATGCAAAAAATCATTAAATATGTACTCGTCAAAAATTTTATTTTATCGACAATATTCCACCATAATCAATACCTACGTAATGTTATAAATAATACAAAACATGAATAATTTTTGTACATTACAATGTGAATAAGATACGGAAAAATACTTGTGGGAAAAGCATTTATTTCTAAATTGTATTTTTATCAAATACCGCTCGAGAGACTCCAATGAAGCAAACAAATGAAATATAACTCCTCCGCTATCTATCACTATCATTGTAATGTACAAACATTTTCATTCAGACCTTAGTACAGTACCTATAGAATCTATAGAGATAATCTATGTTCGATTGAATCAAGTAAGTTAAATTATACTATTTATGTTGCAGCCTCTAGCCAGATCTGTGCATGAAAATAAACTTGGAACCAGTTCTGGAGTCGTCTCGAAATCAGTCAGTCGTCAGTTGCAGATTACATTACTGGGAAACAGTACGAAAAATACAAAGATATTGTAACTATATTATGTATAAATCTTGATTTTATGAATACTTTGAAACAGTCTTATTTTTCGACCCTCAAAAATTACTTAACCTTAAGTATGTAAATGTTAACCAGTTGATGGTAAATCCTTTTCATAAATTACGATACATATGTATCGTGAAAGGTATGATGTGAATGTATGGACACGATCGACCGGAGTAATAGTGCACGCAGTAACTACTAAATATATTTCGCTAATATTTTTAGTAATGTTTAGTAGCTAGATAAAAATCAAATCCAGATGAATCATAAAATAATGATATTTTATCGATAAATCAACTAAAACCAATACCAAAATATCGATACTTCTACAGTTTCAATAGTCACATCCCTAGTTCTATCCGCCATTGCGAATGACCAAGTGAAGTTTAGGTAGGCACGTTTTTTTCGTAGTTGCTTCACATCCATAGTCTTATCATATCAGTGGGGTGCACCTACACGCAAGCAAGCAGCCTTGTCTATGGTTCAATATATGATTTTTATTTTTCTATTACGCGTTTAGAACTCATGAATAGCTATGCCATAACGTGATACGATAAAGTTTCTGAATCTTTTTTTAATTATTTTTGTCGTTAATATACGAACAGGGTTCGGGACTTTCGATCATAGAGCAATCCGGTCCGCCCTAGTTATTGTTCCGAGGGTCCGCCGGTGGCCTGTGTTGCTCTATGCTTTCGATTGTTATATATCTATGCTTTCGATAGACGTGGAAAATGCAAAACTTAAACTCTTTGGTTAAGGCAGATGACAGGCGCCATTTTCAAATTTGTTTGATCGATCACTAAGATTGTGATTAGATTTTTTGTAATAGAATATGTATTGATAGATAGACTCCACCATGAATAATTCAAAATTAACTAATCTTAAAGAGAATGAGGACAAAATACGAAAACAAGCGAAGAAATTATTACGACAAAAAACATCCGAAATCTTGAAGAAACAAACGCATTTGTTTATGCATGAAAAAAGTCTAACTAAAATGGTAAGTTATTTACGTAATTTTGAGTTTCATAATATTTCTAGTTTAAATATCGTCTTCGTTGATTCGTTTTCTTCAGTGCTGAGGAACGTAACCGCCCTTCTGCGTCACCTTCTCACATATACCTATGACCTTTCTTCATCCATTTCTGTCTCTGGCGGTGGGTAGGAAGTTGAATCTAGTGTGATACAAATCTAATCGGACCAACACACGTGTCGGGCTGCGACGATGAGGCCTTTTTCCCATCCAATTTTCCGATCACAATGGTTTTAAAATCTAAGTTATTTCCACTTTCCATGTAATGTGACAAAAGTATTCAAGGACTTTGTGGATTGTCTAGGCACTAGGATAATAATTCGTCGTATAACTCCCTTTATCAGTATCACATTATAAGAGGGTTCAAATATTTAAAGTAAAGATAGTGGTACTTACAACGTCGGCCCATTAAATATATAAAAAACACAAGTACCTAATAATTATATTTTCCCAGCCTGAGCCCAAAAACCCAAATCAAATACTTTATGCGTATTATCACAACAACCAATTAACGAAAATTGAAAATATGGAATTACTATATAATGTTACCCATTTACATTTGCAATGGAACAAAATAACCAAAATGGAAGGCTTGGAAGCCTTGCATTCGTTGAAGAAATTGTATTTGGGTAATAATAAAATCAGCGTTGTAGAAAATTTGGAAGGGCTGAAGTACTTGGAAGAACTCCATATTGAAAAACAGAATTTGGATGGTCCTGATCCTTTGTGCTTTGACCCTAGAACCCTCATTTACATCGGTGTAAGTATAGACTGGATTATTAATGGTTACTTGAATTTAATCATAATATTAATAGTTAATTTTCAACCATCCCCACTAAATAACATGTCACCGTGGTGAAAGTGTGTTGTCAATACAACACACTTTCTTTGTTCTGATTCTCTGATCTTTGTTCAATGGTTTTTATTTTTTCTAGGCCTCCCTACGAATTCTAAATGTATCGGAAAACAAATTGACTGATATGGCTTGGGTTAAGCCTCTAAGACAATTGGAGGTGCTCGTTGCAAGAAAAAATAATTTGGAAAACTACCAAGTGAGATAATCTATTTTGAAATTATGTTAATGTGTGCCTTTTCGTTTTCATTATTATTAATAAGATATTATATGATATTAGAGATTAATAAGATCTAATTATTTTCTGCCTCTCAGGCAGCAGCTGATGACCTATGCACATTGCTGAGTCTGGTGGAAATTAATTTCTTAGGAAACCCTATGACTAGGAAACATCGATATAAGGAGACTATCATTGCAAGGTGTTCTCAACTACGTAAGCCCTTGATTTTACCCTTAATATTAATATCATCTAAATCCATCTCATCTTCTCTCATTTTACATAATAAAATTTTTCAGGCATTCTCGATACTGTAGCCATTCATAGTACTTCGAAAACGTTCATGCGAAACTTCGATAAGGTTGTCCGTTTACGGCAACTACACGAGAAGCATAAAATCGAAGCGACTCGCAGGGGAGTCGACGAGTTCTTCGACCTCAACATGCTATCTGGACCGAGAGCTCAGAGTGCCCTCTCTATATCTGAATTTACTAACCAGAAACCAAAAGGTGAGTTCCTCAATTTATTTCTGTTGGATAGGTGTTGTTATGTTTGAATTTAAATGCACAATTTAAATATACTTTTTATGATTACAGTTACAGCATTTGATTCAACTTATACCTTCATGCCACGTGCGTTCTGGCGAATGCGGAAAACGCCTTCCCCTCAGGAAGGTGTGGCCCCACCGATGGTAGCCCCACCGATGGAGCCCCCACCGCCACCAAAACAGCCCTTAAGCGACAACGATATTTTCCCTATCAAGGGAATATTGAAGAAACCTATGCCGATGAAATATATTTAATACATAATTGTTAATATTTTTTGTAACTAGTATATTAATCCCACTAAATCACTTGTGCCTTAATTAAAACGTTTTATACAGTAATGGAGTGTCATTGAAATAAAAATTATAATATACTTTTTCTAACAATATAATTGTAAATATAGAAAAATAATAGAGTAGAATGTAGAATAAGAAGAATAGCAGTCGAGCAAGACGTGCATCAAGGTTCCGTTATATATTTAGTTTATTGTACCTTATTACTATACCCCTTAGACTCTTTGCATCAAGGACATTGAAAAAAGGCGGACATTTCTTTTTTTCTTCTATGGCAATTGAGTCTCCACTTGACTGCCTCGTTGGCCGAGTGGTCGCAAGTGTGACTGCCGGGCAAGGGGTCTCGGGTTCGATTCCCGGGTCGGGCAAAGTATTACTGGGTGTTTAAAAAAAATCTCAGTAGTAGCACGGAGTCTGGAAATGTGCCCGGTATATGGCAATAGGCTCACCCCCTATTACATGGGACTCATAACATAAATAGTGAAAAGTGGGTGTTACATTGTACAGGAACATAATGTGCACCTCTGCCTACTCCTTCGGGGATAATTGGCGGGATGTTATATGTTGAGTCTCCACTATTTAGTAGTTGACTATTCTGCCAGCGTCAAGTGTTACGGCAGGTGTGGGCATTACAGTTTATGTATTTGAATAAAAAAGGAACAAAACATAGCATTAACATTTAAAGCATTATTATGGCACTCTCATTATACATTAGATTTTAATATTATTTTTAGTAATGAATTTTGCCAAAAGGTTAATGAGTTTAGGGTGAAAATGGGTTAATATTTAATGGAAATTAATTGGGGGGGGGGGGGGGGGGGGGGTATTGAGGTCTAGATATTGGTAGTTTATGGAGCAAGAAAAAAATATATGTTCGGGGGTACCCTCGTCAAGACCAGATTCGCAAACAGAGTTGAAAAAGGCAGACGTATAGTCTCATGAAATAACGAGTGTGACAACCAGTGACAAAAAGTGATGTACACGCAGAATACACACACATTGAATCGAAGACATTTGATTCTTTCATGAGACATTGATATGGTTCGTCATTACACTTCAATAAGACCAAATTATGACTGCACGGTTGGCGCGGTGCAAAGAGTATAATAAGTATAGGGGGCGCGGTGGCTGGGCAACTGGCTGCCGCGCAACGTGTCGCCGTGTCGCGTGTTCGATTCCCGCACGGAACAACTGGTTGTGATCCATAGATTGTTGTTGAGGGTCTGGCAGTCATGTGTGTGAGAAATTGTATGTTTGTAAACGCATCGTTTGAAAAAGACATATAAATACACCACTAATACTTTGGTGCTTCAATCAGTTCTAAGTGATATTTTACATTACCTACCCTATTTTGTGTTTATAATTTTACGTATTTATGTAAATATTTTTTTCTCATAGATATAAGGTTTGCGGCATATGGGATGGCACCACGGCACGGAATAATAAGATGTCTAAGGACATTGAAAAAAGTTTAAATAATTTATTTAAATTTCTGTAAAATTGAACGCAACGTCAATCAATAGAGAGTATGAATGTTAATGTCAAATTCAAAAACAAAATTGCAGGTTATGTTTACAAAAACATTCATAGTATGATATTTATACGATAACTACACAGGTAATGAAAATAATAAACTAAAAATAGTAACCATGAATAATATAATAAGCGCAGCTTACAGAGTTTTAAATGAGGAAACTTCAGGTGGGCTATTTTCTTAAAAAGTTATCATTTCTTATCACCCATAGAGGTTAACTATTTATTCTTAATTGCAGCTTTATATTTAGGCAATAATATAGCAGAGACAGGTGTCTTAGAGCCTATGCAATTTCTCAGGGAGTACGTTTCTAAAAATGTACCCGTTGTAATTCGAAATGGGTGTTCTAATTGGGCGGCTGTCTCAAAATGGAATGCTGCGTATTTCAGGTAATTGTAACATTTATGACTAATGTCTTACATCAAAACTAAACAAGGAACTCACGGGTCGGGCAAAGTACTACTGGGTTTAAAAAAAAAACTCAGTAGTAGCACGGAGTCTGGAAATGTGCCCGGTATATGGGAATAGGCTCACCCCCCATTACATCGGAATCATAACATAAATAGTGAAAAGTGGGTGTTACTTCTGTGTGCACCGCTGCCTACCCCTTCGGGCATAAAAGGCGTGATGTTATGTTAAACAAGGAGGTTTGGCTAACAGAATTTTATTATAGTTTTATGTAGTTATTCAAATTACACACCTTTCTATAGCAGATACTCTATTATTTTTATATTTAAGCAATCTTTAACATATTTTCACAGACAAAAAATACCAAATAAGAATGTGGTAGTGGCTGTAACTCCCAATGGCTTGGCTGATGGCATCACAAAGAATGAGGAGGGTGAGGAGTTCTTTGTCACACCTCATGAAACCACTATGACAATGACACAGTTTCTAGACGGATTGGACGAGAAAAGGTATTGCTTTAATCTATTTTATTTATTTACTGATCTCTTTTTAAATGGATCATCATTTATTTATTTTACTATTCAAAGTTTATTAATACAGTTTCAAAATATAGTTAAGCCAAATCCAGAAGTTATTATTTTATTTTTCATCTTTTAAGAAACATTGCTTCACACTAGGACTTTCTTCTGTGTCGTGGGTGCGTTTACAAACATACAAGTTCACATACTCATAACACCCAGACTCGAAACAACAATCTGTGGATTACAGAAAGAATTGTTTCATGCGGGAATCGAGCCCGCGACATGTTGCACGGCAGCCAGTTGTCCAGCCACTGCGCCAACTGTGCAATCATTGTTATGTTATGTTGATTATTAGACTATTTACAATCCATGTTTGGCTCAACCTGTAGGCAAAATTTTACTATTAAAAAACATTTTTACCTCTAATTACAGAGAAAATTACATCCAGTACATTCAAAAACAGAACTCCAATTTGATTACCGACTTCCCTGAACTTCTAGAAGATGTGTACACAGAGATACCATTTGCTAGTGAAGCATTTGACAAGTCCCCTGATGCTGTCAACTTCTGGATGGGCGATGAGAGAGCTGTCACTTCTAGTAAGCAATAAGTACCAGAGCATCAATCTTATATACTTATTGTATATAGCTGACAAGTTTGTTTGAACGCGCTAATCTCAGAAACTACTGGAGCGATTTGAAAATTTTTTGTTTAATTTATCGAGGAAAGGTATAGGCTATAAAACTTCACGCTACAATCAATAGGCGTTGAGCAGAGTGGGTGAATCTGTATAAGAATATAAGCTGTTTGCACCAACCATCCCTAAACTTTGTTTTAACTAATTGTTACTTAGTGTAAGGGTGCATCTAAACTAATTCCTCATCTGTATATGGGTCACTTATAAGTTGGTAAAACTCAAAATGTCGTTAAGTTCCACCTATATTAACTTAAGGAGCCCTTAAGCTCTGATTGGGTGGCCCCAGTGAACCAACCAATCGAGCGCCGAATGCCCTCGATACTATTACGTTACGAATGCGATAGTTATTCGTTGGCACTCAGTACAGCTTTTCTCGAAAACTTCAGTGGCTGAACGACTATGTAAATGCGCCACACCATCTATATTCTTTTGGCTTCTAATAAACAGCTTTTATTATTTCAGTGCATAGATTTAAACTAATTATTGTGTTTTCGGCTTACTCACGTAACTGTTTGACAAGGAATTCAAGAAAATGGCCTGAAACTAGTCGAGTTCCTAGTCAAACAGTTCCGTGAGTAAGTAGAAAACAAAATAATACACTTAAACTGTTTATTTTTCTTATTTCAGTGCATAAAGATCCGTATGAGAACATATATTGCGTGATAGACGGATATAAGGACTTTATCTTAATTCCCCCCACAGACCTGCCCTACGTGCCTTATAAACGCTACTCACAGGCGGAGTTCAGGTAAATTATTTTTGATAGCAAGGAGGTCTTTTTACTAAACTGTAACTCATTTTAATTGAGTAAAAAGTTGTCTCGTTGGCCTCTCGTGCGACTGCCTTGCAAAGGGGTCTCGGGTTCGATTCCCGGGTCGGGCAAAGTATTACTGGGTTTTTTAATATTCTCAGTAGTAGCGCGGAGTCTGGAATTGTGCCCGGTATATGGCAATAGGCTCACCCCCTATTACATGGGACTCATAACATAAATAGTGAAAAGTGTATAATGTATAATGTGCACATTATACCACTGAACAATATAACCTCTACCTACCCCTTCGAGGATAAAAGGCGTGACGTTATGTTATGTTATGTTATGTTAAAAAATTGTCCTATTTTTTGTATAAAATTGACAAATAAACCTTTTCTTTTTTTTTCTCAGGTACACAGATAACAAATGGGAGATTGTACCAGTTGAGACTGTCAACATGGTGAAACAAACTAGTACAGACGTGGATACTGTTCAGAATGACGAGTACTTCCAGTCCTCAGGGCTGCCTTGGATTAGTGTAGGTGAGGTATTGGTATATACTGTCTTTAAGCATTTAAAATAATTTTCTTGAAATGTACCTACGTAACTATTTTACTACTAATTACGACATTGTTGACTTTAGTTCTGACTGATCTGATGTTCTGAATCTGTTTGATTAGGTAATTTTTATTTTAAAATTACATTTTGATAAATCGTCGATACAATCAATGTCCCAAAATTTGACTGTAAATTTTAATTTTTACCATACGATAAATTCATTTATTTATTCATTACTAGCTTCTGCCCGCGACTTCGTACGCGCAATCCCATTTTCTCCCGTTCCCATCACATATTCAGGATTTTTTTTTTTCTATCACAAGATCCTTCTCCTGACAATAACAAACACAAAAAAAATCTGCCAAATCGGTCCAGCCAATTTCAAGTTATGGTGTGACAACGGGAAACGAGTTTCATTTATATATATATTTAGAGATTTTTTTAAGCCATGTTCGTCCCACTGCAGGGCAGAGGCCTTCCTACTCTCTTTCCCCTCGTCTCCTTTTACAAGACGATAAATATCCTGTATAATAATTAATAATTAATAATTACACAGTGGAACCACTATCAGTGAAACCGCAGTGAACAAAATATTAATTAGGTTTTTTTATGGCATAAGCTGGTAAACGAGCAGACAGACGGATCACCTGATGGTAAGCAATCGGCGTCGCCCATGTACACCTGGAACACCAGCAGTGCTAGCCAAATGCCATTTAGCGCTTATCTACATGTAGAATAGAAAACCAAATTATATGGAATTGACGTAAATTTTGACACTTGTCAGTGTCATCCCCATACATTTTGATATCTACTCTCACTGTAGACAAGCGCTAAAGTGGCGTTTGGCTAGAGGCCCAGAGGCGTTACAAGTGCGTTACCGGCCTTTTGGGGATTAGGAGTTTGAGGATCGTTGGGGATTCCGGGATTAGGGAGATTGGGGAAGGGGAGGTTAATTGGACCTCCAGTAACCTCACTCACACGACGAAACACAACGCAAGCGTTGCTTCACGTCGGTTTTCTGTGAGACCGTGGCTTACAGATGGTATCACTCCGGTCGAGCCGGCCTACTCGTGCCGAAGCATGGCACTCCCACACTTTAAGGTACCTGCGAAATATAAAGTTAACCAAAAACAATTCTTATTTACAGATCCATTAGCTCCAAATTACCTAATATACCCAGAATTCAAGAGGGCTCATGTTTATTCGGTGCGTCTGAAGAAAGGCGACTGTCTTTACCTGCCCAGCCTATGGTTCCACCACGTTAGACAGAGCCACGGTTGTATAGCCGTTAACTACTGGTACGATATGGAATTTGACGTCAAATATTGTTATTTCAAAATGCTTGAAAAGCTCTGTGGAAGTTATTGACTAGAGGAGGGCTCCCTGGATACGATGTCCAACGATTTTGTACGTGTTCAGCAACGCACCTCTGATACCTCTGGTGGTGTTCTTAGGCTACGGTGATTACCATCAGGTACATACGATGTAAGCTTTGTTACAATTGGTTATAGTGTAAATGGAAGCAAAATTGTGGATACAAATTTGATTAGAACTATGTGTTCTCGTGATATCTCTTTCTTTATGACTGAATGAGTCAAACTGTGAAAGAGATGTGAATAGTCTTATAATAATATCCAATGAATTAAACGATGAATTGCAATTTTACTTATTTTGTTACACACTTCAAAGAGACCTGTTTAATTGAAAGAGAGAATGCATGAGTGGGATCTTTTTAATACATTCTTACGTGTAAATAATGTAGAAAATTATTTGTTTAATATTCGGGAGCCTGAAGAAAAAGTATAGCAGCATGGCAGATGTTAGAACACATCTTAAATACACCGCTTTGGTGTTCAACGTCATTATTTAAATTATTTAACATGTACATAAATGAATTTGTTTTTATATGAACTGTTAATAAAACTATTATGAATTATTTGTATATTATTTATTTTATAAAACAGAGCAAAAATAAATTACAAAAGAATATTATCGAAACTGGTTTTAGGCTTCTTGACAGATTTTTTGCTCCTGTCAGGCGAATGTTCTGGAAACAAGAATATTAATAACTGTAAAAAAGAATAATACCGATGCCTACTAGAAAAAAACGAACGTACCTATTTTTAAAAGGTGAAAGGTCGACTTCTCTGTTATTATCATCAGTTCGCTAATTTGCCTCGATATTCCATAAAAACCCAAATGGCTACAAGTAATCACGCTCCATTACCTACCACGTCCGAGCTGCCGTAAGGGCTAAAGATCGAACTCATTCGCGTGCTACTGGAGAGGCCTATGTTTTTTCATAGGTAGGTACCACGAGTATATGTCCAGAAGGGGATGGAAACAGGCTGATAGCTTAAATAACCTTAATTTAGTTATTACCATGATATCTGGGTATACGTTGGACCGCGGCGTGATAAAGTCAAGCTTGCACAGACCGCGCGGTGAGCATATGCCGACCACGTTCTGAGTGACGCATACACTGCCGGCGTTCCAAGCCCGCACCCATGTGCTGTTGCACGAGTAGTCCTCGCATAGACGTATTGTTACATTCGCTGTAAAGGTGTAACAAATATTAGGTACTAAGGTATCTTATCATAGCTGCCCGGTGACTAAATGACATTGCGTTTTAAAGCACCCACTTTCATTTATATGTTTTTTAACGCATGTGTATTATTTTATTTTTTTATACCACGACGATGGCAAAAAAGCACACGGCCCACCTGATGGTAAGCGGTTACCGTGGCCTATGTACGCCTGCAACAGTTGGGGCATTACATGCATCTTGCCGACCCTTAAGAAACCTAGTCACTGCCCTCTTGAAGAACCCCATGTTGTAGCCCACTGGGAAAACCACGGCAGGGAGCTCATTCCACAATCGGAGGGTCCGTGGGAGAAAATTCCTCTGAAACCGAACTGTACGGGACCATTTTGGCTCCAATGAGCGAGCGTGAGCCCCCTGTCGATATCGATTCTGTGTATAGTCATCCGGCGTCATGTCAAGGGGGTCCGGAAAAAATGTAGAGTCCCGGCAACCGAGCTTTTTGTCACTACACTGCACGCCGGTAAATCATCCTATATACCTCTATCACCAGAGTTCAAACTCTGTCACCTCATTGGCGCACCTCTCGTGTCTGATATGAATTCTTAACTGTTCAGTTTTTTTGTCAAATTCAGTGTAATGTTCAAAAACTGGTTTCTAGCAAATCTGCTGGTCCGATCAGTTTGCAAACAGTTACTAGCAGTAGTAGTACTCACGTCCTCTATACTCTTCATCAGGCCAGTTCTTTGGTAGCGGTGTGTTAGCGGCCAGTCTCTCCCGGGCTGCCTCCTCCACGCCCACGCACTGCGGCCGCCCGCCAGTGATTGGGACCTCGCAGCAAATACCGCACATATTCATCTCGCCTAACATTGAACCCTGAAAGAAGACTTAGCATCACATCTTTCTATTATCTTATGTAATCTCCCATTGGATTAAGCAGAGAATAGGACGCCAAATGGTGCGACTCCATCATATTTACCTCTTTCGCTTTTCTACATTTGTCACTCTTCATACTAATACTTTGCCACCAACAGGTGAAATAAATGTAACAGGGAATCATATTTCTCTCGCCTCTACAAACTTGCCCATTCTCCTTCGATAAACCTTTTTCCTAACTTATCTAGCATCCGTTCTTCCAATACGTCCAATAATCCAATTCTTATTGATATTTTGATGGTCTATTAGTAAAGTTCGACAAGATAGGGTCACTTATAACAGGATCTTAATAATCTTACCCGTAAGAGCCCTTCTGCCCGTGGTTTCTTGACACACTGGCACTCTCTGAGCCCCAGCGTGGCGCACTCGGCCGCGTGACATGACCCGTCAGACATGCACCTTCCGTTCAGACCACACCGACACTTTGCCGACAGGACCTCACATGTACACTCTCTGTCTTGATCTCTGCAGTCCTGGAATTTTAAAATTACTAAAAGGCGAGTTGTGATCACATTTTGAAAAATCATCTTTTATAATTGTCTATTATGCTGATGATTTACATAATAGGAAGGCAATGGAAGTATTCATTGTAATCATTATAACTTTGGGTAGGTATACGTCAAACGATATGACATAACATAACATCACACCTTTTATCCCCGAAGGGGTAGGCACAGGTGTACATTACGACACTTAATGCCACTGTACAATCGAACCTACTTTTACACTATTTATGGTATACCATGTAATAGGGGGTGAGCGTATTGCCATATACCGGGCACGATTCCGGACTCCGGGCTACTAAGAATTTTTAAATACCCAGTTGTACTTTGTTTGACCCGGGAATCGAACCCAAGGGCAAGGGGCCCGGCAGTCGCACTTGCGATCACTCGGCCAACGAGGCAGGCAATCAAACGATATGATTGTCATCAATATTCATTTCTGCATAAGAGGATTTCCCATAATGTTTACGTTTGGTAGGCTCGTATTACCTATTTATTCTTCCTGGTGGTAATTCTATCTACTATCACCACACGACTTGGTAAGGTTTAGTTCAATGGAAATAGCCCATTTGTCATCAAAATCCTGACACACTTAAGATGGTATAACAAAAGCATCCAGGCTTCTACTTAAGTCTGTAATAATTACGTAAAATAAACAGTCAGCAAGAAGGCCAAGGCCGGTTTTAGATTTCCATTATTCTGAAATGGGTAGCTACGTCAAGGGCTTAGTTTTAACAGTGTTGATTCAAGATGGCCGCTGCTTTACTCAATTTTGGCGGGAGATTCTTACAATAACCTAGTCGGCACGTTCCACGGTATTAAAGGATGAAGAAAATATAGAACTGGGTTGAAAGTTTAAAACTACGTACCTAAATTATGTCCAGTAATAAATATTGTGCTAGTTTAATTTTTTTTTTATATGGCATAAGCGGTACCTAAACGAGCAGACGGATCACCGGATGGTAAGCAATCGGCGTCGCCCATGGACACCTGGAACACTAGAGGCGTTACAAGTGTGTTACCGGCCTTTTGGGGATTAGGAGTTTGAGGATCGTTGGGGATTCAGGGATTGGGGAGATTGGGGAAGGGGAGGGTAATTGTACCTCCGGTAACCTTACTCACACGATGAAACACAACGCAAGCGTTGCTTCACGTCGGTTTTCTATGAGGCCGTGGTATCACTCCGGTCGCGCCGGCCCATTCGTGCCGAAGCATGGCTCTCCCACACTTGAATTCTTAATTGATGTTCAAATATTTTGGTGAAATTACAAGGTCTATAAATAGAATTTAGTAAATACTAAATACCCGCCTTCACACAGCTCAAATCGAGCTAACAGAGCGCCCATTTAGTAATTGGACTAGGACTTAAGTAATCTTATTTCTAACAAACAATCTCCACTAATGGACTTTGGAATTATTTTGGAACTTACTTCTAAAATAAAATAAATATTTAAGGGCTGATTTCTCAATCATCAGTTACATAAAATTGACAGTTGACAGTTTTTAGTAAAGAAGAATTGTCAAATATTGAAAGTTATTCCTTAATTAAAATTTATCTGAGCATTAAAAAATTGGTTTATCTTTGTTACTCGTTACTAGATGGTGCTGTTATTATAGGTAATATTTCGATATCTTTCAAATGATAATGGATATTGTGTGTCTTTGATATATCTAAGATCGATATGACATGTTTGTAACGTCTCAATAATTCCGTAGTATTGTGTCACAATTGGAATATTTTGTGAGAACAGAAGTGATATTTGGAGCGGCCAAACGCAGGCTAAAGCCTTCGAGGTTTGTATACAAGTACGTATTTCATATCAAACTTGGCGAGTGTTTGTAAATATTATTACATTTCACTTAGGATTACTGTCCACGTTGCGTCATTTGACGTGGATAGTAGGCCTTAAACCACAATATTTCACATGCTTCAGCCCGCGGTTTCGCCCGCGTTCTCGTGCCTGTGTTATTGCAGACTATAATTTCTCCCAGTTTAAAATTTCACCCCTTCGGTCCCTTCAGTCGTTTTGACGTGAAGGAGTAAGAGACGACACATACGCACATACATACGCACATACATACGCACATACATACGCACATACATACGCACACACATACGCACATACATACGCACATACATACGCACATACATACGCACATACATACGCACATACATACGCACATACATACGCACATACATACGCACATACATACGCACATACATACGCACATACATACGCACATACATACGCACACACATACGCACATACATACGCACATACATACGCACATACATACGCACATACATACGCACATACATACGCACATACATACGCACATACATACGCACATACATACGCACATACATCATCACAGATACGCACATACATACGCACATACATCATCACAGATACGCACATACATACGCACATACATCATCACAGATACGCACATACATCATCACATACATCATCACAGATACGCACATACATACGCACATACATCATCACAGATACGCACATACATCATCACAAACGTTCAAAACGATTAGTAAGATCAATGTGAATCATGACTGATTATTTAGTAGTGTAATTCGAATATAACTTAAAATGCAATTAAGCAAGGCACGGGACAACATTAATTTGTTTGTGTTAGGTTTAAGGCGCCGTAATTAGTTGAGTCATTTTAAAAATAACTTCGTCAATCGGTAATGTGCTGTTTAAAGATACAGACACCTTTAACACCATAGATTTCTATGAAATGGAGTGACAAAAAATGGATGATAATAAGTGTATGAATTAAGTATCTACTATTTCAGAAATTTTTACTAGGAGATATGCTCATGAATTTAAGGTATATAGTTATAATTATGTTCAGTTTACCCTAAATTCATCTACAAATAGGTATGCCCAACTGGTGAAAAGTGGGTGATGCTTTCCAACTGTTCACATCTGCGTATCCCTTCGGGGATTGAAAGAGCCGTTGGTTTCTTTTTCTTGTTTCCCACGTGCACCATATCTATTCAACACCTTAAATAAATAGGTACTGATACCTTCATTTCTGTATACTCTGTGTCAGTAGGACACTTCATTATGATGGCTCAAGTCTAATGAGGTCCTCGCTTAACACTATCAAGACTTGATACTTAGTATCGTCTGTCAGTGATACGGTGATACCATGGATAATTGAGTCTATCGTGGCTATACTTGCATACTCGAGACCTGATTCCCTAAAATAAGCTAGTTTTCAACATTTATTTGTCGTAACAGTGAGTACGGGAGATATTTCATGCTCTTAAAATCAGTTTTTAGTGCCCAGTAGTACTATAATAAGTAGTTTAGTATGCAATCACCTTATAGGCGCCCCTCTTTTGCCACTTTATGGGCAGTTTTGGGCACGCGTCTTACGGCGCCCCTCTGTAACCTGGCGCCGTAGGAAGGCACTTGCCTAGAGTGCCTTAGCGATAACTATTACAGTACTGTCCCCATCCCAACGAAAATAATTCTAACTAATAAATATAACCTACATACATTCAAACGCAATTTACTTTTGCATACAAACTAAAATACAATAAAACTACAAATACATAAATGAACGATTTTATTACAAAAAAAAAAAATACAATGAAAAAGTAAAAATTCTATAAAAATACACAATCATGTAAAAGGGGTTATAAAACTCGAAAAATTACCGACTTGCGTCCTATGCCAATAAATAAAAATAAAAAAAAAAACAAAAAGGCACCATTAACCACAGATACAAAATAATAAAAATGGAGGTTAAAAGAAACTTTTTACGTAAATGACAACGACGATTGATATTAGGATTATACTACTAACAATACCACTTTTTACGAGGTCTGCAAGCTGACATTTGGCGGTGCAGCATAGTCCTTGGGATGGGTGGCACATGGCTGATGGAGCTACTGAACATCCATCTTTGTGTAGCGTCCTGGCAAATGATTTAACTTGTAAAGTTGGCAGTAAGAGGTGCATATAGGGAACAAATGTTCGATTTATCTGGAAGTGGTTCCGTGAAATATATTTTGATTGGTACTATTTCAGTGAGACGAAATAAATAAAAAATAGTTACCCTTCTTCGAAGACGAGAGCACCACCACCTCGTGGTGTACAGCAAGGGTCTTTATGAATGCAATGAGACGGCAGTCCACAGTCGCAGGATTCACCTTCTTCTACTATTCCTGAATCCACATTACACATAAAAAATATTAATTCTTAATTAGCCTTAGCAGCGTCGTTATCAGCAGAAACAAACCACAAAGTATCAATAAAATCACTCATCGTCATTGTGAACAGCTCTTAGCACTTATACTGAGTACCTACTCTACTACCGTTCTATGCTTTAACTTATACATCACTGCCCCTTGCACAACAATCAAAGCTATATAAACACACGCAAAAACCTGTCTTACCATTCCCACAATAAGGTCGATCCTCTTCCATCAAACAATAGCTCATGCTGCTTAGCGTGGCGGCGATCAATCGTTTGCTGCACAACGAGAACTCGAAGTTTAAGCCATTGACTACAGTCGAGGACTGAGACCCCATGAGGTATCCTCGACACTCAGGGTTGGGGAAATTATCGTCGTGGTGGGCGCCAAAACTGTGACCTGGGATATAAAACGTGATAAATATAAATCCTTACTATAATATTATAAATCTGAAAGTGAGTTTGTTTGTTTGTTTGTTTGTTCCACCTTCACGCCGTAACTACTCATCCGATTGCTTTGAATTTTTGCAGACGTAAAGTTAGAGGTCCGGATTAAATAATAGGGTAGGTACTTTTTAACCCGTAAAAAATTTATATTCCCGAGGAAAAACAAAAGTATTGGTATAGATGGCGCTGTGTGTATTGGTATATGACACATAGGCTACTTTTTATTCTTTTGTGATGCGAGCGAAGCCGCGGGTAAAAGCTAGTAAATAATAAAAAATAATATGTGATGGAAACTGTACAATATTTCGAGCGTAAGTTATTGATGCTCTTTGATCTTATAGTTTGTTGGTTAGTCCTAGTCCCTAAAAGAAAATATAAACGGCCTAGTTAGTTTTGTTCGTGTATTTGATTAACAATGCCAACTTAAGGCATATGTACTATTTTAAAAGAAAACAATACAAATACAACAATAGCTTAAAACATAAACACACGCACCCATCTCGTGAGCAAGTGTGAGAGCAGCGATTCTCTCAGGAACCCTACTCATTGCCTCTGTGGTGGCGTGTGCTATAGCTAGTGTGTTAAATGAGCGCCCGTATGCGCGCCGGTCACAAAGCCCACCAGCTGCTCCTCCCATTCCTCCCCCAAGGGAAGTAAAACTGTAAAACAAGACGTGATTTGCAACTTTATCCATTTGCAATATAGTGGTAAATCCATTGGGGTCGCGGTTGGCGTGCTCCGCAAAGAGCCATTAGAGCACCACAGATGAAGTTGAGTAGAGCTGATGTCCGGTCGGGGCTGCGGACGATCTAGCGAGTTACTGGGGCTCTGACTCGAAGTAAGAGAAGTAACGCGGAAGGAAGGAAGGAAGAAGGTGGTTTTTAGTTAATAAAAGTCTGACATTTTCTCGCCTCATCCTAGACTGCAAGTCATTTGATGATTTTCCTTAGTCTTAAGTATTTAATACTGTATTCTGTTACCTGAGACCCAGAGTTCTATTATGAAAAGCATGTCCAGAAAATGCCACACCAAGACATACTTCAGACAGTCGTCGGAGTCTGGCAAAACGCATAAGGTAGGCTCGTCCGTCTATCGCTTTGTCTTTTAATAGATCTCCGAATACTCGTGTGTTCGTGTCATTTGAAGTCAGTACTAATATGTACTTCACTGAAAAACCTGGGCAAAGAAATACATAAATGGTTATTGTCATTGTTAAAAACTGTTGATACAAAAAGTTATAATGACCTTTAGACATATGACCCTACTCATTGCCGCACACACATGCTTTTAAATATTATGATAATCAAATTGTTTATCATAAGTATATCATCAGTCTATGAGAAATTACCCAGATTGATGATCTATTTACGCCAGTATTTCATTGCCGCATAAATAAGCTGAATATAAATTTTTAATTTCTAGACACTTTACCAATATTATCAGGAATTCCATCTTCATTGAAATCAGCGTTTCTGAATATAATATCAGCTTGAGCGACTGCATGCATCATTCTACGCACTACATGATTCAGACTTGAGTTGGCATCCTTCTCGAAGAACTCCTTGTCAGCCAGGAGCAGAAGGTCACAGATCCTCGCTCGAGCAACACCTGGCACCTTTTTCCGTTCTTCTATTCGGTACGGAAAGAACGGAACGCGTTCTAGAACGTTATACTGAAAGGGAAGATAGTAATTAAGCCATTTGGGCGCTGCGTTATTGAAGCGTATGATAGACAAGGGATAGCAGAAACTACGCAGAAGACTAACCTTCGCGTGTACCATTGGGAGTAAGAGAAGATAGTTCTTCTTAAATTGTTACAAAAATGAGATAAATGCTAAGATTAGAACACGTCCATCTTGAAACTGTCGTAGGCAACCTGATTATACTGTTGATTTTACCTTCAATAAAGCACCACTCATAGTAGTATAAATCTACCAAGTAGGGACACACTAATATGCAATTGTTTATGTAATACGTATACGATTGTATGTGTGAGGTGTTTATTTACATTATTCCTTTAACCCAAGCAACTGTGTCCAGTCGATGAAATTATATGTAAGAGTTAACACTTTCCTTAGTTATATACCAGTTCTGCTCAGTATTCAGGGAGATCAATCAGCCAATCACTATAGTAAGCCATTATCTTCACCTGATCACCTGTGCATGATCGCGTCGGTACCGCGGCGCCGCCATATTGTCGTTTTCGAAGGCGCCAAAGTATTTGGTCGGGTCATCGTGGCCGTAAGGATCCGCATGAAGAGTACGGTTACCTAGTAAAAACATAATGAAGTTGATGTTAGATATTATTTATTTATTACTAGCTTTTACCCGCGGCTTCGCTCGCGTCACAAAAGGATAAAAAATAGCCTATGTGACATATACCGATATACACAGCGCCATCTATAACAATACTTTTGTTTTCCCTCGGGAATATCAATTTTTTCCGATTTAAAAAGTACCCTATTATTTAATCCGGACTTTTAACTTTACGTCTACAAAAATTCAAAGCAATCGGTTTAGTAGTTACGGCGTGAAAGCGGAACAAACAAACAAACATACTCACTTTCCGATTTATAATATTAGTAAGGATGAGTTGAAGAGAAAACTTCTCTATACTAATGTCCCGTATCCATGAAGTTAAAAATTATAAACGTTAAGATTGTTCCTTATCTTAGGATTTTAGCATCCACTTCCTTCTATTAATAACATAACATCACGCCTTTTATCCCCGAAAGGGGTAGGCAGAGGTGCACACAGAAGTAACACCCACTTTTCACTATTTATGTTATGAGTCCCATGTAATAGGGGGTGAGCCTATTGTCATATACCGGGCACATTTTCAGACTAAGTGCTACTACTAAGTTTTTTTTTAAACCCAGTAATACTTTGCCCGACCACTCGGCCAACGAGGTAATCTATAAATAATTTTGGAAATTATAATCCAATACCTACTTCATTAAACTTGACCCAATCAAAACTCCTACACTCACTAAGCAGTTCTAAAGACTTTCTTATAAAAAAATAAATTCTAAAATTCTTAATGGAAAATTTTCCAAGTACCACGGTTACTAAGCGTGTCAATTTCAAGGAATTTTCCGATTAGTACGAGAGATGACGACCAAAACCATGTCTCATAGCAATACGGCAAAAACCCTATAAAATCGTTAGATAGTATGATTCTGAACCCGACTAGGTGTGTAGTAACGGTCGAAAGTGTAGCAACTGCGTGGGAGGCCATTTCTGCTGTGTCAAAAATATCTCGAGTATCGAAAAGTTGTCTGATAGAGAAGGTGCTACAGTTATTTTGTCTGATATAATTTTTTTGCACATGTGGACAACTTATTTTATCATGTCCAACAATTTTCAGACATATTGCCATGAACATGAACGGTCTCAATATTTAATGCGTTCACATTTCCGTCTGAAAATTGTTTTGTTCGCATCAAATAACCAAAATTTACTAATAAAAAAGGTTTTCAGACGTATTGCTATGAGACATTTTTTTTGTCTGGTGTTTTTGTGGTCAGATCAAACGCTACGCGGAAAATGTCGGATTTTTTCAACGACTGTCGCAACCGCTGTCGCCATTAAATCGGCCGCCGCCTGGTGCGACCTCCCGTGCGCTAGCACCAGCGTGTCGTCGGCGTAGCATATTGTGCTAACGCCGTTCGGGAGGTCGGTGCGCAGCACCCAGTCATAGCCGATGTTCCACAGGAGCGGCCCCAGAACCGAACCCTGTGGAACACCGCGTGACATCTCTCGCCGGTTCCACTCGCCCCGGTGACCGGGGTAGCTGACGGACCTGTCCGTCAGGTAAGCCTCGATCACACGACGGAGGTAGGTAGGCACCCCATGATATCGGAGTGCCTCCAAGATGCAGCTCCAGGGCAGGGAGTTGAAGGCGTTGGCGATGTCTAAAGACACCGCCACCACGACTCTACCCCCGGACACTGCAGTCCCCGTCGTGAGGTCCCTAACGCGCATGATGGCGTCCACCGTGGAGCGCCCTCTGCGGAAGCCGAATTGGCCGTCCGACAGGTCCGGCCCAATGTTCGTCAGGTGCGCGACGAGGCGGTCCGAAATGATTCTTTCGAAGACTTTCCCCACCTCGTCGAGCAGCACTATGGGCCGGTATGCGGACGGAGAGTCCGCAGGGCGCCCCGTCTTCCGCACGAGGACCAGTTTGCCCGCTTTCCAGAGAAGCGGGAACTGGCCTCTCTCCAAGCATGCGCTGTAGAGACCGATTAATCGAGGCCCGAGAGCCTCTGAGGCCAGGACCCATGCTTTGCCATGCAAGCCGTCGGGTCCTGGGGCGGTGTTCTTGGCGCCCATCCGGCGCACCGCCGCTCTCAATTCTGCCTCGGTCACCTCTGGGACGAGGTCATCGTCGCCGTCGCTATAGCCCGCGTCGGGCACCGCAGGGGGCAGAGTCATATACGGAGGCCTGAAGCGCCTCCGCGGTCGGGGGAACAGGGCGCTTATCACCTCCTCCAAGACCTCTGGCCGGAGACTCTGAGTGAGCGGGGGAGCCCAGCGCGGAGCTTATCGCGCACCATCCGGTACGGGCGTCCCCACGGGTCTCTATTCAGAGTCCCCAGCATCTCTCGGCGGGCCTCCTCCTTGGCCCGCAATATCTCCGCCTTGAGGAGGGCCTTCGCCGCCCTGTATCCCTCGTATAACTCCGCCTCTCTCGCCTCCGCATTAGGAGGACGGATACGGCGCCTGCGGTGCCTAGTGTACTGGCGTCGCGCAGTAGTGCACGCCTTGCGCAGAGCCGCCAGCTCTTGCGACCACCAGTACACCTGGCGCTTCTGTTGCCTCGATCGGATCCGGGGCATCGCCACGTCACAAATCCTGGACATGGCGTCCTGGAGCCACTTAGCCTCATCGTCGATGTCGGCAGGCCTGACCGGTGGTATCACCCAGGCCTGCACGATGGCGGCTTCCAGGAGCAGCTCCCGGTCCAGCTGTTTCAGCGCCCAACGCGGACCACATGGGGCCTGTCTGACCGGCGGGTCTGCGGACTCGGCGGAGACGTCGAACCGGATATACCGGTGGTCGGAGTACGTCTCCACCTCCTCCATGACACGCCAGTCGACGATACGCGGTGACAGAGCAGGGCTGGCGAACGAAATGTCCACCACCGACTCGCCCTGCATCCGCACGCACGTGGGGACAGAACCCCGGTTCAGGACGACTAGGCCTGTCTCAAGGGCCCAGTCTTCCACCATCCTACCCCGGACGTCGGTGAACCGGGAACCCCAAGCCAAGTTTTTGGCATTGAAGTCCCCGAGGACGAGTACGGGGAGGGAACGGAACCCGACGACGACGGTGACCAACTCCATCAAGGAGTTGTGGAATTCGGCGAGAGTTCGGTTCGGAGAGAAGTACACGCCCACCACAGCGAGCTCTCCGAACCGTGCTGCGACACAACCCCGGCCTCTTTGAGCAGCCTCAAGATCGGGTACCGGCGGCGGCCGACGATATGATGGTCACCGAGCCGACCAGGTCCGCCACCCAGTGATCCTGGCGGGACGAAGTACGCTCGGAGACCACGGCGACATTGATCGACCACTGCGCCATGCTCTGAGCAGGAGATCCTGAGCAGCGGCGCAGTGTTGATGTTCGCCTGGAGGAGGCGGAATGGGGCCATTATTGGCAGTCCATCCCGACCTCTTCAGTGGCGGCAGCGGCGACTGCGGCGGCAGTGGCGGCGGCGGCGGAAACGACGGGGGCGGCGGAGGGCCTACTTTTGGCCTTGGCTTTGGCGTATCATAATAATTATGCTTTCATTATTGGCATTGGCATATTTGGCATTAATGTCCGCCTTATGTACCATTACTTGTTTCTGTGTACATTAAAGTTTAAATAAATAAATAAATAAAATTATATCACCTGCAACATTTATGATGGAGATTTAAACTTCAATGACTGCCTCATTCGCCATGAGGTCGCAAGTGCGTGCGGCAAGGGTTCAATTCCCGGATCGAGCAAAGTATTACTGGGTTTTAAAAAAAAATCTCAGTAGTAGCACGGAGTCTGGAATTGTGTCCGATATATGAAAATAGGCTATTTTTTTTTTTAAGGCGGGAAAATCATCGAATGACTGCTCCCGCCTGGGTGAGGCGGAAGGGAGTGTCAGACTCTTACTGACTAAAAACCACCCCGTTCCTTCTCCTGCACGTCGAGCCGGAGCCCCGGTTACCCGTTAGGTTCTCCGCGACATGAAAATAGGCTAACTCTACTTATTACATGGGACTCATAACATAAATAGTGAAAAGTGGGTGTAACATTGTACAGTGGCATTGAGTGCCGTAATGTGTACCTCTGCCTACCCCTTTGGGGATAAAGTGCGTGATGTTATGTTACAATGACAGTAAACGAAATTTTACCTTATATTGTACGAAATGTTGTACTTATTGAAAAATAACCTTCAATCAAACATAAATATTAACTTTATAACCATAAACTTGAACAATTATAAACTCAAACAAAATGTGTGAAAATTCAATCTGGCACAAGCGTGGTGATTAATACTCTCATAGCTTAGTTCCGTATGAGAAGAGGCCTTAGCTCAGCAGTGGGTACTTATATATGCTGATGATGATGCTGATGAAGTAAGTACAAAATAGAGTACCTAAATGCAAAACTCCATAGAACTGATAGTCTTCTCCTATGTATCCCTCAGCGGTACCAGAAGCAGGGTCTTCTACTGGAAACCCGTATGCCATGGTGATGTCAGCCAGCGGAATGCTCTCTAACGGTGTATGGATCTTCTCATCATGATCATCGGGGTCCAAGAAGAGAGCTGAGTGACGTGTAGCTAAGGTGGACGATCCTGAAAGGTTATGGTGACGTAACATCATGAGATCATCACTATTTAAGTTGTATTAAACTTTTATCAGCGGCTTTGCCCGCGCAATCCTGGTTTATTCCATGGGTGTATTTAATCGGGATAAAAAGTATGACCTAAGTCAGCCTATACCCTGCCTGTCATCGAAATCAGTTCAATAGTTTCAGCGTGTGTGACAAAGAAACTCACATTTATAAAATTAGCGTGATTGTGCCCAAAAAAGTCAATATCATTTATTTCAATTAGACCAGAAATGCACTTATGAACGTCAACAAAAAATTAAAAGTGAAGGTAATTGCTCATTTTAAGGTGTAGATTCTTATGGAGAAGAACGAGCAAGAAACTCCATAGGTTACTCTTTTTCAATGTGTTATTTAAGTATTCACATCATGACAGTTTCTGTGAATATTTTCTGTCTTTTAATGATAATTACAGATGTTATTACAACACTAGCTGTGCCCACGAATTCGTCCCCGCGGAATAGTGATTCTACAGCTCCTGCCCCGTAGGTGATGACGTGATAACATGTAGCTTATATATTGACTCGATCTATTAGTAATATTCATGCAAAATTTGAAGTAAATCCATGCAATAGGTACTTTTTGAGTTTAGTACATACATACAGACAAAAATTCTAAAAACCATATTTTTAGCTTCGGTATCGCTTGTCGCATGTACCAAACATTCTTTTAAAAAAATATTATATGTACAGTTTTGACTCTCCTACTATTTTATTATACGTAAAGATAAGATAGATTTTAAGTGACTTTAGGAACAGCTGCTCAGCAATAAGTATATCGCGTGTTTAATTCCCGTACAGAGTAAACTTTAGCATCATCTATAAATGCTTAGTTGTTTTGAGCTAGGCGTGTGTTTAATTTAATGTATGCAAGCGCATGGGAGTAAGTATAATCAAGACATAATACACCGGTTTGGACAATACCATGCCCCTTAATAATTTTGTTGCCAAAATCCTAAACAGTTAGTTTATGTTCTAAAGATGTGTAAGGCTTTACTGCCTCCTGTCTCAGTATATTGTGTCCAACAAAGACAATAATACCTTTTACGTAGTTATACTTAAACCAAAAGAGCTCTTTTCTTACACAAATACACAGAAGCTAATAAATATTTACTCACCAATCGGCTGCAACTTCAAACACAACAGATACACCTCCCGACCAAACTTCGCTTCTAGAAGTTGATACCCGTAGGCACTGCAGATGATATGATGCTGTATAGTAATGTCCACGCCAGTCACACTGCTCAATAGACACGCACAGACCACAAGCACGAAAGCCATGGCACCAATTTTGAATTTCACCAGGCCATTTCCAAAATGTGTATATTAGTCTAATGTTCCCCTGTACTTAATATACTCTTTGGTCTAATGCCATGATAATGTCAAAGTTGTTGACAGGAGATTAGCTTTTTCTTGCTTGATGAAATCCTGTGAGAGAAGAGGTTTATCTTGTGAAGGTTGGTAATTGTAAATTGGAAACTTTGATGGAAGTGTAGACTTTTTCCTTTCTCGGTCTTGATCGAGCGATCGAGGGTTGAGAGAGTTGCCGGGTGAGCCGGGTCCTAGACGTCCTAGTTATTTTTAGTCCTATACTTATATAGGTATAAATATAGTGAGTATCTTCTGATTTTTGATAGGCAATCTACTTCTTACCTTCTATGAAGCGCTTATAAAGATATATTTCTACTAAATCTTCTCGTTATCAGTCGGATTATGTCATCAAAATTTAAGAGGACAATGCTATCCGTTTTGGATTGTAACTACGCATTTTAGGACACAACCGGGTTTATTATATTTTAAATCTAATGCAATAGCAAGCTTACGACCATAAAACAATCTACTTAAAGTACCTAGTCCTTAAACATATTTTTATAACATCTAATTAATATTTTCACTCCGTACTCCTGTCATAACCGCTAATGACCTAATAAGCATGCACTATCGTATTACTTATTCAATCGCTCTTACACGGCGACGCGACTGATTCGTACGTATAATTTGAATAATAAATTGCATTCTCTTTAAATAAACGTGTCTCCTACTACATTAGTGCATGTGCGAACTGTTTGTCTGTTTGTTGTACTTTATAGGTATCTTAAACATCATACAAACGCATTGCAGATTTTGTTTTAATACATAGGTAGCTCAATGTGTAATTATATACTAAGAATCCTGTAATTAATAATCTAATAATAAATAGGTGATTTATAACTTAACTTAGTCATGAACCAAAAGAGCTCCAAATCCGACCCCACTTTCAAAAACATCAGTCACTCGTATCTGTTTTCGGGTCGCTGCTCCTAATTATCGGCCCCTACATGGCTTGAAACAGGTTGAGTTACTCTTTAAACAATTGCACGAAGTAAATAAATCGTATATAAGTATAATTAATTTATTCAAATGTAAAAGAATACATATTTTACAAATTTTACTAGTTTAGACATTTTGACGTGTTATCCAGATCTTTAGGCAATCTTTTGTAGTCCTGTAGCAATCAATGGTTTATTATTTATGCAGATTCCCTGATAATACCACGTACGTATCTATGTACTTTATACTTGATTAGCTTTCAGGGTTATTTGCAGATGATTCCGTCAATAAATTGATTAATAATTAATCATACCTTCAATAACTCACGTGTATTGACCATTATGTTGTGTATCACAAATCAATGTTATAGGTACCTATCTATGTTATATGATGTATGTAGAACAACAATAATTGTTATTAATTAATAATTACTACTCATTAGTTGAATTGAAATCTGTCAGTAATAGTTCAACAATGTCAATGATAAAACATGGACCTCTTACTACCGAAATAAATTCAACGATTTCAGTATCAAATCTGCGGTTTAAGACCAATTGTAAGGTCGAATGTATCAGAAGATTCTAGGTTCGAATCCTGGCAGGATGTCGCCATGTGACTATGTAAGGTTGAAAGTATTGGCGGAGAGAAATGATAGACACGGATGTCCATATAACACTGTCTTTTATTGACACATTGATTATATACAACCAAAACTTCATACAGCCTACAAGTTTTTACTTTTCGTTTGTTTTTAGTTTTTGAAGTTATTTAAAACAAGCAAACCAACGTCCAACTCTAGTCATAATGTTTAGAAGTGTAAGCAAACTAAATATAAATTAATTAGCTCACGTAAAGCTTTGTAACACAGCTTACGGCGAAGTGATGTCGTGTGACAATCATTAGGACCACGACTCACTAATGACAAGAAGTACCTCGGATATAGGGAACTGATAGACGTGTAGACATGGCCTACAATTAACTTTTATTATTAGAAGCAAGTATAACAGCTCACACATAGGACTCATTTAATTTTTAGTCAAATTGCCGTGGTGTCTGGACTAGGCTTCTCCTAGTTGTACAGTCTCATTTTGTGCCTTTAGGCTTAATTCATTTTGTCTCCTGCAGTAATTCACCGAGGAATGTGGAAACTATCGTTTTTTTCTTTTCCTCTTATAATATCTTCCGATTCACTTCCTTTCGGAACTAAGACAGTTATTCATGGCCCTGGGACGCGCTGGACTTCAGTTTTTCGGGGTTTTCATGGTTGTATTTAATGTAGATCCTGGATTACAGGAGTTGTAGCGGTTTTGGAAGGTTGTGGTGGGGTTGTCCCATAAAAAATATCTTTTAGGAAGCAGGGTCTAATGTTGCTTAAGTTAAGACATGGGAGACCAGCTAGGCTTTTCTGTGACTGTCAATACGAAATTCCGAAGTGAGCTCGATCGCGTTCTCGCCCATTATTTTTTTATGGCATAAGCCGATAAACAATCTGACGGATCACCTGATGGTAAGCAGTCGACGTCGCCCAATGACACCTAGAACACCAGAGGCGTTACAAGTGCATTACCGGCCTTATGGGGATTAGGAATTTGAGGATTATTGGACATTCTGGGATTGGGGAAGGTATCAACAGCTTATAAATGCCTACTGCTAAGCAAAGCCTATTCTCATATGGAGAAGGTTAGAGCATAGAGATTGGGGAAGGTATAGGTCGAGATTATTCTCACGACCAGTAACATGATACATGGCGGACCACGATCGAGTTCACTTCGGTCTTTTGAACTACATAAATATTACAGAGTAGCCTAGATGGCCTTTAGATCCCTGATATATCCTTCGAACAAGCGAGGTGACCATGCCTGCTGTTGCCATGAACAGTTACATGTTCGGATCTTCTATCTATGTTAGGTAATCAGCGCACAAACTTGCGCGATGTAGGACGTTACCCGAAACTAATTTTAAAGTTGAAATAATTGTTTAGTCCAAAAATTGTTGTTTCAGTTTTAGATGTGCACAGATACACACGTTCACGTACCACAGTATGTGAACGTGTTAGTAAATGCACCCACGGCACAGAAGGAAATCCTTATGCCGACCACATATATAGAAACTGACCTTCCTTATCCCTAAATTTGTTGCCACCTTTGCGAACACTAAATAATGAGGTGAGTACAATACCCCTCAATATGGTTGCTAGAACACCACAAAGCTTCATCGCCTTATCTTATATCTTATAGCGGAATAGTTTGTTTTTTTTTGTTTGTTTGAACGCGCTAATCTCCGTAACTATACGTCTGATTTAAAAAAATCTTTTTGTGTCGGATAGCGCATTTATCGAGGATGGCTGTAGGCTATAAAACATCACGCTACGACCATTAGAAGCTGAGCAGAGCGTGTGAAACCGCGCGGAAGTAGCTAGTCTATCTATAACTGCCTAAGGTCTGTGGAGCCTCTACATAGACATTCTAAAATTAATAGATTCCTGGAACGGAAATACTAAGGTATCAACTAAAGTACTAAGAATCCTTTTTTTAGAATCCCTAGCCTAGTGACTAGGTTTTAACACCTCTCACTTCTAACGGTATGGGGGAATAGGATAGATAAGATACTGGGTGCGTCGTTCGTTTGGTGAGTCTTAGGTTCCATTCTCGAGTCGTGTAATGAACTCTTGGGTGGTTATTGTTATTGGTTAATTATCGGAGCGGAATTTAGGATGAACATTTTTGTGTTTTTCAGGTGATGCTAATATAGTGTCGAGGTCCTGTTTGTCAAATTTGTTTAGTTCTGTGTCGGGTACCTACGTTAACAAACATACAAACATTTGAATTCGGATAGACAAATATTCGTATTTTGATCATCCAGCGTTATTATATGGAGACCAAAATCTGCGCAATGTTGCACAGCAGCCAGTTGCCGAGTCACTACGCCAACCGACCAATCAAAGCACTTTAAAGATTAAGAAAATCGATGGAAAAGCTAATAGATAGGATGCACCACAAAGATAAAAACAAATAAATTCCAATTCACTTAGATTAATCCAATTTGCTCTCAATGAAAGTACCACATTTTCGTTTTATCACCAAAAAACATAAATCTATGATAAAAGTACCGTTGGCACTGTGGTACCGCTAGCTAGGTGGTGCCATCTGTGGTAAGTTATGTGTAATCTCAGTTGTAATTTATCGGCGCCAAGCATGAATGCCGAGGCGCCTGCGCCGCGTTTTTGCACGCGATGCAGTCTATTTTTAACTGGTAACACTTTACTATAATTAGAAAAAGGTTGTGTCTCACGCTTTAGTTTTGTTGGGATGCTCAGGATTCTAAGTAATGCTAATGGCATAGGGCTACTAGCTTGAGGAAGGTTTCTTACGCATCTAGATATAAGTACCTAGATATTAAGGTAGTTTGCAGGTACGCTGGCATGGATTTGTTTAAGATTGTATTTTAATAGTTGCACATTTAACATAATTATGTTAGTGAAAGGGAAACCTTAGAGCATTTTTCGTAATTTGTTATGTGATATTATACATCATGATATTTATTTCGTGTTTGTTCCGCGGCAAAACCACTTGCCATTGAAGTTTATTCGATGTATAAAGTAAAAACAAAAAAACAAAGACGTAATTTTCTTTTAGTTAAAAAAAATATCATTGATTTTCGCATAGGGGCATTTATGGACTACCCCTCTACCCCTTGGTAGGGAGGGGGTCGACGAAGTGTAACAAGGGGGAGGGAGGAATCCTAAACTTTGTGATGTCACATTTCAAAAACACGAAATATAATTGTACCTATTAATGTTTTTTATTTTGTTTGATTTGGTAGACATAAATATTTTTTTTAAACTAATTTTAATAGAAATAGAACCGCTGTTTCAATTAACAATTTTTATAGATACGTAATTCTGCAAAATGTGACGTCACACTAGGGGGAGGGGGTCTCACAAATGTGACTAGCTGTGACAAGGACGGAAGGAGGGGCAAAAAATCGTGTGATGTAATTTATGGATGACCCCAATATGAGACACTTTTTTTAAGGGGGAAAATCATCGAATGACTGCTCCCGCCTGGATGAGGCGGGAGGGAGTGTCAGACTCTTACTGAATAAAAACCACCCCGTTCCTTCTCCTGCACGTCGAGCCGGAGCCCCGGTTACCCGTTAGGTTCTCAGATGTCAATCTTTAGGCATTATTCACATTAATAATAATATAATAATAATTTATTTATTCTTAAGCACTCAATACAATATATCAACAATAGTTTGGCTACAATATTTTTACAGGTATATGATTTTAGCTTCTGTAGTCGAACTAGGCATTGCCTGTATTTCGACTATCAGTGCCCAACCCTCAAACGTACAGATAATTTCAGCCTTTCCAATGTCAGTTATACAATATTAATTTTTGTTTTAAGAAAAATAACAAGAATAAGATTGCACATGCCACACGCCAAAAACCTCTTCGAAATTAAACATAGCGTTATGTTTTGATTATGTAGGTACTATGAGTTCGTATACACTTTCGAACTTCATTTTCTGCAATGGTTCATTATTTATTTTTTGTTTTAAACATTCCATTTCTCTGTAAAACATTGTATTACCGGGACAGAAATATTTTACTTCAGGACGGAACCGAAATAAACACGGTGCAGGCATATTAGATTGGTACGTACTGACCTTTGCATGCCTATCAATTTTATGTGTTTACATAATCGTACGTGAAAAATAGCAAAATATAATAACTATTTCACATAGATAAATTAGGATATCAGTTTGTACGGTCAAGATTCGATATCTATGCAAAGATGTTTTTAATAAACCGCACGTACCTAATAGGGATGCTGACTCAGTAAAAAATAGATTGTCGCAATAATAGATAAATATCTAAAAATACCTAACTGTAGATAGGTTCTCTTATTACCTACCTAATTGATTTTAATTTTTGCTTTGTTATAATGATATTTGATAACTAGCTGTGCCCCTGACTTCGTTCGCGTGGAATAGTCTCTCCCCACAGGTCCACCCCCGAGGGTGGTAGTACGATAATAATATGTAGCCTATATGTTGACCCGACCTGTTAGTAATATTCATGCACAATTTGAGGTAAACCCATGAAGATTCATTCGATGATTTTCCCCCCTTAAAAAAAACCCGTAGGCGTGATAATATGTAGCCTATATGTTGACCCGACCTGGAAGTAATAATCATACAAAATTTGTAGTAAATTCATGCAGTACTTTTTGAGATCATCCCGGACATACATACAGACAAACAGACAAAAATTCTAAAAATCATATTTTTGGCTTCGATATCGATTGTATATCACGCCTCAAGCATAATTAAAAAAAAATAATTAATGTACAGTTTTCACTTTCCTACGATATTAATAGATGTATATAGATAGGTAGGTATCTACGTACTTAACCATGTTGTGACGTCAATAGCAAGTAGCAATCTCATCAATTTCACAGAGCATAGACAGGTATGTTAATGCCTTTGGCGTTTAAAAAAAAAGTAGGTACGTAACGCTGAAATACTAAAACACCACTTAATTTAAAGTCGCGTCGAAAATCATCCCTTAAATTTGTTCATATAAAAATAGTCTCTAAATACTGGAAATAAGGTCTATAATGTAGTTGGTGGAGACAGCAAGCGATATATTTCTGTCTCTACAAATTCTTTGTAAAATGACAGAGACGGAACGATATTTAAGTACGATTTAAATTAATTAGCCTATGTATTCAAAGTTCAAACGTCAGTAATTGAATTTGACTAAAGAGTTGTCTTATTTTTCAGCGCATAATTCCCATTCCCACGATGACGAAAAATAGGTGGGAAAAATAATTTTAATTTTGGACAATATGAATATGATTTTCTACTAGTTGGGTACTTTCTTTAATCAAAAGTAAATTATTTGGACTGTTCAATAAGGTAATCTATAAAAAAATAATCACACTTTCACAAATTGATTGATTTTATGACCAACTTAATTTTACTATTTTTCCAGCAAATTTTTAAGAAATACGTATGCTGTATGAAGCTAAATAAACGTGACGTCACAATACACAATCTCGTACAAGAAAACTGTCGTTTTTGACAATTCGAAAAAAGTATTGAATTCAAGTATCCAATTCAATAAAATAAAAGTCATAAAATTCGTGCAAGGCGTTTTCGAGACTCGAGTCTTACACGATTACTTTATTTGAACTTAGTTTTTAACAGATACACAAAAATAGATAGAAAATAGTATACTTAATCTGGTAAAAAATCTTATAATTATCTACATTCGTTTCTCAATATCGATATAGATTACCTACTTACCAATTTGAAGTTGATAGAATCTCACAAATTAAATTGGGGACAACGATGACACGATTAGACAATAAGAGTACCTACCTAATCCAAGAATACTGGTATAGACCCAGTAGGGATTTATTTGTTGTTTACAATAACTTCAATGTGCACTGGATGTGAACAATAAGTATTATTTGGATTGTATTTGTATGACTGTATTCATATTACGAACATTCCGCACATTCCATCAAATTGGGTTTATTGGGTCCTTAGTCGACTTCTGAATCTTAGGAACAGAGCTACATAACAACTTGGTAGTCCATTGTTGGACTATGACCACTATAGGACCCTATTAGAGTACAATATTAGGTACACTCTTTTTATTAAATAGAAACATTGTTCCCAAGTCCCCACAATAGGATTTTCTTCGGTGTCGTAGGTGCATTTACAACCATACGATTTCATGTAAACCATCGGGCGATGATGTTAAAGTTCAGAATAGTTCAGTGCCGAAATCGTTCCCGTGACGCACACATGTCGTACACCAGCAGCTAGTGTGCCCTGTACTCGAACTCTCATTAACTAATTTAATTTTAAGCTTTGTTTTTTCGAACTAATTATGATGTCACAAGTTTAAATTTCACATAACATTAGAAAAAGTATAATTTTTAACATTAAAAATAAATTGAATTTGAATTGCTGAAATATGTATTGTTAATTTGAACTGATTTCATGCTCTATCTATTCTCCCCGTTTGACAGAATCGAGCTTAATGTAGAATAGCTTAACAAGTATGCCTAGCTAGTTAAGATTACAGTTTTAAACAAATAACATCGTTCGTCGAGCAGAGCGGGTCTTGGGCGCCATCCGCCATTCGGCTTCTGTGACGCGCCGCGTAAGGTTGCGCGCGCTTTTCAATTTTTAATCTGTGCATTTTCGTAAGTCATAGTGTAAAGTTAAAATATTTTTAAAAATGTTGAAGTACACTATGAAGAAATATTGTGCGGAGGGGAGCAAATTCAACCAAATTATTATTGCGTGCTTGAGTAAGTTTTATTTTTTAATATTAATTGTCTTTTTTATTTAAAAACTCAGATTTTGCTTGGTATATATGTCACCAACACTACAAGTATTAATTTTTCGATACTTTGATATAATAAATTATAATACATTCCTTTATTTTTTTTTCTAAGTATATTTCTGAAAGTAGTATTGTATTCAAGTTAATTGAATAAATAAATACATATTATATACCACTTAAAAGATAACTAATTAAAAGCTAAAACATTTTTCTATATTCGATTAGTACTTATAACATTTGATTTAAAAAAAATATTTAAAAATATAAAAAGCAATTATTATGATTAATATCTTGTTTAACTTAAATCAGTCGAAGAGTTTTCTAATTTTTTTTAACAAGGCCTTAAGGTTTTATGATGCCTTTTTATTTTTTTTTTGTACTTATAGTTGAGCATGTACATTAGATACCTATTTCAAAAATTTTTAATACTTTTAGGCACTTTAACAAGACGTAACTTTTCTATAAGTATTTAGTAGGTATTTTTGAAGTATTTTATGACTATACCTAAAGTAGTATTTTTAAGTTTGCCTAAATTGCATATTTTTTTATTTTGACATAGGCGATAGGACAAAAGCTCTTTATTCCGAAATTAATAGATATCAAACTATCATGTACCGAATAATATGACACATCAAGTTATAAGTGAAAAAAAAGTACGATCGAGTTGAGAACCTCGGCTTAAGTTACAAGGAACTTTGATAGGTTGCCTTGCGGATGGGGGTCCAGGTCCACTATAGGCTAGTCCTTCATTCATCTATTAGAGAATTAGCGAACAGTGGGTGTAGCATGTTAATTTAAATCCATGGTATACTGGAACGACGAACGAAATATATTTATTTATTTATTTAGAAAATGTACGTATATAACACTATATACGCTGATTTCATAAAGCCTTCGAAATAGAAATAAATAAATAGTGCCTAGTTATTATGTAATTTATACTTTTGGTAATAATTATAGATGTAGTTAATTGAAGTGTGTAACTAGGTTCCCTCTTTACTTTATAGAAATTGACAAGATGTATTATAATAAAAAAATTGTATGACAAGGGCAAGGACTTCGAGTCCGTGGAGATTTAATCTATAATACTATAAAAAAACACTATATACGCGATACACTATGTATTTTCTATTGTGTCTCATATGCCGCAGGTAAGTGGTTAATAAATACCTCTGTGTCACTAGATATATATAATATTTTGGATAGTAATGTCAATATAAAATGACCGACTTTGACTTTCCTAATAAGAGGTTAATGAGATAATCCATTACGTTTGTCGAGTACCGGTTTTATAGACACAATTAAAGAACAATAGGTCGCGGTCACCGGTGACCGCTTGGTGTTTGACAGTTTAATTAAAAAAATATAATAGGTAGGTAGGTAGTATACCGATTTCACCTAAGTATTTTGTATTAACTTCTGCACGCGGTTTCTCCCGCGTTTCCATTAAAAAGTAGCCTATGTGTTGTTCCAGACTATACTTAATCTACGTCTGTTTCAAATTTGATCCTGATCCCTTCAGCCGGTTTGACGGTTTGATCTTATAGGCAAACTTTCGCGTTTATAATATTAGTAGCATATTTCGCATACTTTTAGATATTGAATAACACAAGTACTCTCAGTACCATACTAAAGATGACTGTGTCTTCTACCCAGTGAGATGTCATAACCTAAGGCAACCAGCATGAAGAACTTGCCTAATATATAGATCATTGCAGGTATATGAATGAGATATTTAAATGAGTTAGACCAATAAATTATTGTGAATCAAAAATCAATTATTTTGATTTTTCAGTCCAATTAAATATTGAAAAATAGTTACACTTTCATTCATTGATTTGCCGATATACTTAATTTTCGATTTATTCTAGGATTTTTGTTAGACATAAGTGTGATATTTGATGCGAAAACATGATGACGTCATGAGATGGTATTTCGTACAAAATTCATAGAACAGTATCGTTTTTGACGTTTCGATAAAAGTATTGAATTTGACTAGTTGTCAACTACCGTATTCAGTAAAATTATTGCCGATCAAAAGACATTGAGTTCGATTCTGGAGTCACATATATGACATTAGATAAGATCATGTCTAGACTAGAGCGTGGAGGATTTATACAGGGTGTCCAGTAAATACGGCAACATACTGTATAGGTTGATAGCTGGGACCAATACCTACCTAAGCAACCCAATGTATACCTACGGCACGGTTGGTGCGGTGGCTGGGCAACCGGCTGCCGCGCAACGTGTCGCGGATCCACATCCATTTGTGTGATCCAGAAATTGGTATTTCGGGTCTGGGTGTCGTGTGTATGTGAACTTGTAAGTCTGTAAACGCACTTACGACACAAATTCTAGTACGGGGAAAAGTTTTTTTTTTAAAAAAAAAGCATGTAGGTACGCACATCTTTATTCAGCATATAACTAGGTGAAAATTTTTTTTTAATAATTTTTGTACAACATACTTATTATTCGTGAATCTATTTGCTGGACAACCTGTGTATGAATGACAATCGTTTCATTCGCAGTTACACGGGCAAATAGTAAGGTAGTAACAATTATTAGTTTCATTCACAGTTACACGGGAAAATAGTAATAGTAACAATTACTACGTACGTACACACACACAGCACACCCCCTCGGAGAATAAAAGGTGTAATGTTATGCGAACATGAAAATGTTTTGTAAATACAAACCCGCGGCCCACAGGGAAAATTTAATTCGTCAATAACTATTGTTGATCATTTCATGAAGACTTGGAGATCAGTGGAAAATTATCTGTTTCTTATAGCATCGGATGTACCTATTACTGATTTTCAATAAAATCAACAGCTTATAAGTGCCCATTGCTGACCAAAGGCCGCTTCTCACACGGAGAAGGTTTGAGTATTAATCACCACGTTGCTCAATGCGGGTTGGTGGTTTCAAGTTTATAATTTGAAATTATAACTCCAGGTTTCCTCACACTGTTTTCCTTCACCGTTTGTCAGTGGTGTCTAGATAATCTTAGAAAGTACATATAACTCGAAATAAGTCACATTAGTACTTGCCGTTGGTAGGTTTGGAACTCACACTCTCACATGAGAAGTGTCTTAACCTTTTGAACGCCAGAACAAAAACGCATGAACTTGCCCTCAACGCCAGGCCACAAATTCACCGCAAATACCTACGAAAAAAATAGGGATTCCAAAACTTCATCGATAATCAATTTTATTTTCATTTTCGTCTTTAATTTCGAAATATAATGTCCTTATAACATTGAAATTTAATTCAACATTACATTTCTTCCTATTAAAGTAATAGTTATACACTATTTACAGACTTGTATAATACCGTAATAACAGATATGAGACTACAATATATTTAAATATAATAACTGTAGGTACAACACTATTCTTGATCTGCTGTCTTCATATTGTGACCATGGCGTGGACGGCCCGCCATTTTAATAACTACTTCGCTTCCGAAATAAGGATGTGGCAACGTAATATCTCGTTTATCGATGTTCTAGTACAATATTATTTTATAATAAATGAAACACGTTTTTTAAATCAGATTTATAATTCCGAATGTAACAGGTACTTAAAAATATATGATTGAAATAGGTTAAGAAGGTAAATAAAAACTATGAAAAAATAGAAAATTTTAATAAAATGTTATACAGTATGTACTATGTATACATGTTTTTAAATATTAAGTTCTACAAACCTGGCATAAAAAGTAACAAATTAAAAAATTAACGATTATATATAATTATCACAATTACCAATCACATCTAATATGCGAAGAAGTTCTTCCGTAGTCATTAAATTCCCACTCATTATAATAGTCACTTAATATAAATCTTGAACTCGATATCACAAGTAAATTAATCATAAATATTATTCATTCACTTCACTAATTTCTGGTCGCCGCGCTTGTGACGTCACGATATTGTCGTCTAGTCGTGACCATGGCGTACAGGGTACTGATAATTCGGGTTGCGTTAGGGATGCGCTTGAGTTGGGATTAGTGAATATCGAAATTCGACCCAACCAAATTTTATTTTGACTATGTAGCTTATTGAATGATTTTTAAGACTGGTTTTATAAAATTAATGCTGCTTTATCCTAGTACCAAATTATACCTAAAATAATATATTCCAGAGGAAAGTTTCGAATCGATCTTTGATTTGAAATAATGATATTATCCAACATGCGCTACATCACTAGCGGTCACGCAGTTATGACTCTGGCGTGTGAGGACATTCTTTTTTCAGAGTTTATTTCTTTCTTTTTAACGTAAAATTTCTCAATATTTATAATGCAATTTAATTAGTTTTATGGAAATAAATAAATTTTGGACCTTCTATTTTACAGGTATATAAATAAATAGGCATTAAAGTAATGTTTAAATAGTTTATTCCGTGTTTTAATGTACCGCTGTTTTTGTCACATATTTGTGTCGTTGGCGCTCAGGGACAGTTTTCGCTTGTCACGTATTTGTGACCCTGGCGCTCAAAAGGTTAAACCTCAGGATCACCATGACATCCACTAAAATCACGCATGTAAATTTCCACCAGATGAATGAAAGATTAAAGGTTTCATGAAAACAAAACATGCTTTATTCAAATCTACACTGAACTTTAAACTCATGCATTTAGCTCCAACTTAGTTAGAACTCTGGGCCGTTTTTCAGTAAAATAGTCTAAAATAGTCAGTTAAGCCATCAGTTAGCACTTAACCAACAGTTAACGAAATTTTCAATTTTTCTATAACCAGTTAGGCATTATGCAATAGTTAAACTCCCTAACTATTGAGTTAGGGGCTAGGAATTCTAATAAAAGACTGTATTCTTGTAAATAATTATTTACTTTTATTTACTTGCACATACTTCTATGAAAGGTAAGAACAACAACGGAACGAAACAAAAACATATAGTGCCACCTAGCAGAACTATTCAAAAACTAAAAACTGTAAAGCAGCC